TCAGAGAGCGGGATGACATCAGACGCTCTCTTTATTTATGATTGGCTGAAGCGGCGGACAGACAAAACGCTGCCTCTTTACATCTGGGGACACTCTCTGGGAACAGGGTAACAACACACCTGTGTACCTGTTTCCTTTGCACGCACACCACTTACTGACCGCCCCTTTAAAGGTGACTCACTAATAGGGTGGCAGTGCTATAAGACCCGCCCACATGAGAACAGGAAAGGAGAAAACGGTCACGGCTCAGCGTGTGTCTAATGCAGAGGGTGTGGGTGGATGTTGGACGGGTGGTGTCTTAGTGAGGCTTTGAATCATTCCTGCCACACCTTTCCAGCTTTACTCACGACTTCCGAAAGCCTTCTCAACATTCAGGCATCGAAACTGGAAATTAGCTCTAAAGTTTTATAGTGTGGGGGGGGTCACTGCTGCCCCTGCAGGACGTTAGAGGAACTGCAAGTTTCAGTCCCAGAGGTCGATCAGCAGCAACGAGGCTGAAGCAGATCCAAGGATTCCGATTTAATCCGAGTTTCTTTTCTTTCAGAGTGGCAACCAATGTGGTCAGACGGCTGTGTGACAGAGGTACACACACACACACACACACACACACACACACACACACACACACACACACACACACACACACACACACACACACACTTCTCTCTTTAGTGTGTGTGAAATGAGGGCTGGCTCAAGACTTTTGCACAGCACTGTGTGGACTAAAAATAGCAAAACAGCAGATTGAGAACGACATTAACTAAAACTCCCAGGAGTTTATTTCTGGGTTTAATGGGAGCGTCTCAGCAGCCGAGGATTGTGGGAAACGTAGCGTCAGGTACTAATGATGACATCGTTTCACAGGAAGTCCTCCTGACGCGCTCATCTTAGAGTCTCCTTTCACCAACATCAGAGAGGAGGCCAAGAGTCACCCCTTCTCCATGGTAACACACACAGACACACACACAGACACACACACAGACGCACACAGCTCCTGCAGGTGTGTCTCACAGTGCGTGTGTGTGTTTCAGGTGTACCGGTACCTGCCCGGCTTTGATTGGTTCTTCCTGGACGCCATCACTGCCAACAACATCCGCTTCACCAGCGATGAGAAGTATGTACCTCATCAAAGCTCCTCCCACATGAAACGTGTTTTCGAGCGGCGCCCGGCTGCTCGTCAGCAGCTCGCTACGTCGTTTTTAAAAAGCATGCGGCTGTTTGACCTGAATCAGCGTGCAGAGCGCCGCCTCTGAGCGTTTACTTGTTCTCGGGGTTCGGAGTAAATTCCTGAGTGGGTGGAACAGGAAACGTTTTTACCGTCTTTGGATAATTTTGGAGTTGATGTTAAATTGTCCGAGGAACATTTCGAGTTTCTCGTGAAGTTTAAACCGAATCGTTGATTTTATGTTTTCAGTCGTGCAGGTCTGACGGATGGAGCTTGATTGTTTTTAGACGCTGATCCTGGATCTGCTCGTGCAGCGTCAGAGAACAGACTTTCATTACAGCTGCTGACCTTCGACCCTGCAGACTAATCAGGAAATATTAGCTCGTTATGTGTGTGTGAATATCTGGTGATTCACACACACATAACCCAAACAGCAGCACCTAGTGGCTGTTAGAAGAACTGCAGCCCCTGAATGCAGCAGATGCGTTTAATGTCCCTGAATGTTTGTGTGTCTGCAGCATGAACCACATCTCCTGTCCCGTGCTCATCCTCCACGCCGAGGACGACAGCGTGGTTCCTTTCCACCTCGGTAAGAAGGTAAGAACGTGTGACCGAAACATCTCCACCAATCTAAAGAAATCCGTCAAGAACAAGTCTTATTCTTTAAGACAGCGGCCCCCAACCCCCACGGCACGGACCGGGCCGCGAGAGTTGAGGCTCGGGTGTGAAGTTTCTGGTTTTCAGGGTTTTTATCGTTAACTCGGTAGAACTGAAGCTAAAACGAAAACATTGGACAGATTTCTGCTGTATTGTCACGTTAATAGAAACCGGAACGTTTCATGTTTTTAAAGAACGTTCTGATGTGGACGGATCTGCTCCGGCAGCATTTATGCAACGCCAAATCACAACAGGGCGCTTTTCATAGAGCCAACGATCACACAGAGAGGAGCCAACAACCAGACGACCCTGTGAGCAGGCGCTTAGGCGAGGGTGGGAGCAGGAAGAGCCAGGCTCAGGGAGGGTGGCGTCGAAGACGGGAGAGAGAGGCACGAGTTTCTGTGTGACTGATCTGTAGAGCCGCGCTGTGATGGTGTAGACCGGACGCAGCACGCCGTTTTTCCTGCAGTAGAAGAAGAAACTGAGACTAACCCGCCTCCTCGCCCTCTCCCTGCAGCTCTACTCGCTGGCGTCGCAGTCGAAGAGCCTGAGCGGTCACAAGGTTCAGTTCGTGCCCTTCCCCGCCGCGCTCGCCTACAAGCACAAGTTCATCTACAGGAGCCCGGAGCTGCCAAACATCCTCAGGTAGGATCAGCTCGCGGTGATGTCACGGTGAGCCGCGAAGCCGCGCTCACGCTGCTCTTTGTCTTCTCTTTCAGTGATTTCCTGGGCACAGCTCATCCCGTCGCACAGTGAGGACAGACAGGAAGTACTCGGATTACTCTCTGCACTCCACGACAGCCGCACCGCCGCGGCTCGTTTTGTCCTCGCATGACCTCGACACGTCATTCCTGCTTCTGTTAGCATTCCTCCCACAGCCGCGCTCGTGTCACAGCACGCAGGGTCGCCACGGCAACCGATGCTTTTAAAGAGTGGTGGCGTGGAGTTTTTAATATTTTTGTGTGATTGTGTCGAGTTTATCACTGGAACTTTGTGTCTGAAGGCCTGTTACAACTTGAATTAAATATTATTTGTTTTATTTGTCTTCATTTATCAGCTCTGCTGTTTGTTTCAAAAACATCTGAAAATGTTGATGTCAGCATTTCTTACAATGACTGAAATAAAGAGATTTTTATTTTTCAATGTAAAGATGCAAAAATATCCAAAAGTAATTAAAGTAAATGTTAAATCATCAGATGAAAGAAAAAATGTTAACAAGGAAATTTTGACGACGAAAATCTCGTTTAAAAACAAACAAACAGAAAATGAGTCGAGGACGAAGCTTTCTGTGTACAAAACATCAGGTTCATGTTTCTGTGGTGACGGAAATAAAAACAGCAGCAGAAACAGATTCTGATGCGAAACCATTACCCACGAGACACCTGGGCGCTCACGCCGGGCCTCGAACAAGCAACTCAAAACCAAAATAACAACAACAATAATATTAATGAGCTCTGAGCTGATGATGATGCTCAGCTTCATCGAACACGATGAGTTTTTTAAACTAAAAGAAGATAAAAAATAAAGATTTCGTTTTACAAGCTGCTTGGTTCCCTGAACGCACCGCCACAGACACGCTCGTTAGCTTATTTATGCTGTAATGTGATTGGATAGTGAGTAAACAGCACTCTCTCGCTGTTTGACTCAAAGGCACGATTCTGCACAAATATATCCACCTGGACGTACAGGCAGGTGAGGAAGCTCACCTTTCCTTTCAAATTAAAAGCTGTTGATCCACAGCAAACACCTCATTCTTCTTCTAATGCAGGGGTCTGATGACGAGCGCATCTAAAATTTCCTAAGAGGTCAGTGTGCCGTAATGACTGCATTAGCAATAAATTTAATAACGCTCTATATGAACAGTTACTCACTATATAGATCAACTTTACAGAATTATATTTGTTCGCAGATGTTGGCAGCTGTCAGCGAATAGTTATCAGCTATTTAGAAACAAAAAAGACTTTTTATCCATAACAGCAAATGAACTGTACAACAGAAAATACAAATGCTATCTATGGTCTCCTCACAACAATGATAAGTAAAATAAACTGGGCCAATATGACATGTTTGTTAATACAGAGACACACGTGTTACTGTGATCTCTGGTCTCCCACTCAGAGACACAGGTCTCCCAGTGTCCAGCATTCAGAGGCTACCTGAGGACTCATGTGAGAGAAAACCTGCTCACACAGACATGTAGAGCCAAACACTGTCAATAAGGCCTCTGAATGTTCTGAAGACAGTTGTCAGGTAGTGACGTCCAGCAGGTGAACATGCAGCTCCATGAACACGCACAGCTGTGGAGTCCAGCTGCGTTCATAGTTCTGCAAACTTTGACCCCCACAGAGTCGAGCTTTTCAGTTCAGTCAGCTGCATTTTGATTAACTGGTATTAACTCAGCCAGTTAATGCGAGACAAACCAGCTGCTCATTAAAGCTTCTGGTTTGATCAGTCTCAGTCTACGGATGTATCCGTGTGTTTCCGTGGTGCTGATGCTGAGCCGACAGCTGCTGAAGCTTTTGAAGTGTCAGGATGTGGAAATTTCAACATCGCTTGAAAAAAAACTGCCAGCTAACAACGTCCCTCTGACCAGTAGACGAAGTTATTTTTAGCCAATTACAAGTTGAATCTGGTACTTGGGGTTGCTAAGATACCGTCATTAAGAAGCGGCACACCTAATGTCTCTGCGAGCTGATTTGCGATGTGCACCACTGGCCCGCCCATTTATTTTTTAATGCACCTCTCAGATCAGTTCACTGCGTGTCGTGTGCAGGGCTGGACTGGGACAAAAAAACGGCATTTTGACTGGAGACCGGCCCCCCAGGTATTAAAGCCATAAACCCTTTGAATGAAAATAAATGCTGTTGTGACAGTCCCATATGGAAAAGAAATAGTAAAAACTTACATGATTTACTCATGAAAGTGGCCACTTTCTCATTACTTTCATACATTGTTTTAGTATCCAAAACATACAAGTTTCATTATATAATTTTTCAAGGGATCTTATATCTGTTTTTACTCTTGTATGCTTTTCATACAAGTTTCACACAAGACAGATACAAACTTTATAAGATTTATAAATATCTTTTCCATATGTACACTGTCTTGTTGGTATATGTATGATTTCTATACATTTTACGTCAGATAAAAACTTTGGTTGTAAGATTCAGATAATTATTTAATAAAAGCTAGATTATTTTAAATGAGAATAAGAAAGAAAAGTATTTCTTTGTGCCCCCCTCTCCCTGTTAATGCCCTACCTGGCCCCCTGGCAACACTTTGCTAGACCCGCCCCTGCACAGTTACCAGCTGTCAGCTACTTAAAAAAGGATCCTGGTGTTATTTGTCTCTCAGAAACAGTTCATAACTTCAACTCATTCATGTCACCTAAAAGGTAAACCTGTTTCTCCATCACAGCTCTGATGATTCAGTAAGGACATCTCCTGGTTTCATCTTCATGTTTCCCTCTCACCAGATAACCAAACCATATCATGACCAGCAGGTTTGCAGCTGTGGCTCCAGCAAACATCAGCTGATACTAGAAATTAATATTAAATAAATTCTAACAACAGCTGATCAAGCTTAAACGTGCTGCTGTTGTTTAGCGCGACATCCGCTGGTTTCCTCTTTCTGGCGCAAAGTGGGCGATAAACAAACAAGAGAGCGATCAGCTGATCATTGATCAGTTTCATGATTGAAGTAGAAACAGGAGAGGGAGGGGAGAGAATGAAAGAAGAAGAGGCAGCTGTGCAGCAAAGACGAATAACTCCAGCTTTGTGTCTTTTTCCATTCTAGCTAAAGTCCGGGACAAACTGCGTCTCTTCTCAGCTCAATACGAAACGTGTAATATTTTCTCTGAATGAGGGACCATTCCATTTTTTTAAGGAGCCGTTGGCAACTCTACTAACTAACCTTATGAATAAAATAAAGTTCACTATCAGTAACATCACAGCACCACCCAGCTGTATAGAAACTCCGTCAAGCTGGCTAGAACGCAGTACGAATTATTGTAACTGAGGGTAAAAAGTCAGCACAACGAAAAGAAACTCCAGCTAAACTTGGTTCATATCTGACCCAGACAGACTGCAGGTCAGAACTTCTTACCTGAAGTTCACCTGACGCTCGGACCTGCGGCCGCCTCGGGTCTCTGCTCCTCCTCCCATCTCCCTCATCCACCTGCTGGCCTCTGTGGAAGCTCTGCCACAGCCACCACCAAACAACTCAGTTATTTTTACACATCGGCAGCATCTGGCCAATCCACCACCTCTCATTGTTCATGCCCACCGGGCTGCCCGATGGCCAGTCCAGCGATGTTAACCTGCAACCAAATCTGCAGCTCCATACAGCAATGTTACGACTTGGATTATATCTTATAACTCATAACTCTTATGTTAGCTCCCCCAGCAGCCTACTGTCAGAAATATTCGACGGTTGCAATAATTCTTTAAGTGTTATTTTTTCCTTGGGATTCTAATTTAAAGTTTACTAAACTCAACAAACTTAATATTACTTACCGGGACATTTATTCTCTCCTCATTTATTCTCTCCTCATTTATTCTCTCCTCATTTTCTTTCTCCGAAAAATTGTTTCCTGCAGTGCGTCTTTCTGCTTGGCTCTCCTACCTTTGCTAACGTGATGCACATAGCGCAGAAGGATGCTGCATTCACCGTGAAAACATAATCGTACATTTGATATTTGATTGAATTTTATTGTTTTGCCTTTGGGGTGGCCAGTCTGGTTGGGGGGGTGGCCTGTGCCCCCCCAGGCCACCCCGCTGGACACGCCACTGGGGCCAGGGCGAAGTAGTAGTCCCGGGGCGTGGCCACGTTCCGGTCCTTCACCAGCGTGAAGTGCAAAGTCTTCTTCATCTCTGCAACGTCCGCGAGCCCCGCACGCTGATCTGCTTCCGCCTCTCATGGTCGGTCAGCGGCACCGCCATGTTTCCGCCAAAGTACCCGGGTTACGGAGCGAGGGGAGCGGGGTGACCCGCAGACAGTGGGAACGCCTTAGAACAGCCAGAAGAGTAGCTACGGCCCCGCCCACCACACCAACACGGGGAGATCGTGGGGCGGGGCTTTATGAGTAGGGGGCAGGGCATCAGCGGTACATTGAAAAAAGAGTCCGCAGCGCTTTTACTTTCATGCACCTGGCTCCGTGTGTGACTGGATCAGCGGCAGCCGTCACGGCTCTGACGTGTCTGAGCAGGACTGCAAGCTCGTGACGTGACACACGTGTTTGAGGCTCAGGAGACACCTGGACCTGTGTGCTGGGCTCACCGTGAGTGGGAGGATTCACACGGCGTGTTTAGTTTGAAATCACAGAATCTGCGCTCCAAAAAACAAAAGATGTTTGGGGATCTCATTTTCACCGAGGAGTGACTCCTCTTCAACTCACGCCATCTTTGAGTCTCTGCGTCATGACGTCACACCACGAGCGTCAGGGAACTCAGCGTGCATCCGGGTTTCCACAATAAAACGCTTCCTGTTCGAGCCGCCGCTGTGCTCAGGTGAGCTCCTCGTGCTCACAGGTACGCGGTGTGTCTCCTTAGTGTCCAGCGCGTGAGACCGGCCCACGTCCACATCAGCGGGATCGAGTCCTCCTGTGACAGGTAGAGCTTCCACCTGCAGCTGGTTCCACTGGTTTTAATGGGAGTCCAGCAGCAGACACACAAACGCACGCGCACTGACGCACAGTTCAAAACTTAAACTGGGTCTGAAGCCACGAGGAGCGCTGACCCCGCCCCCTGCAGCCCTCAGCTTCCTGCAGGGTTGAAAACTCAGCAAGGAAAATCGCTATTGGCTGTCCTAAAAGTCGCTAAATGACGTCATCGCCTAATTTGCTTAACTGGTCATGCTAATGTAATTGTAACGTTGTCGGAGAGAGAAATAACATCGTGGAAGAGACAAAGTGAGTAAAAAACGTCCTAAATGCAGTTAGTTTGTTTAGAACTACAAATTAAATTTCTTTTAGCAATTATTGTTTTTTGTAATGCCACAATTCCAACCCCGCAAAAGTGACCCGAAGTGGGCGCTCTGGTGGAGTTACAGTGTGTGTGTGTGTGTATAAGTAGTTTTAAACCTTGTGATCCACGAAACAGCATCACAGTAAAAGAACTGACTGCATTACAGTCAGTGCGGAGCAGCGGCTTCGCTCATGCGCGGTTCATTTGCAGTTTGTGCGCACAGGTGTGAGCGTCTCCTGATAGCAGCGGGGGAAGGACTGTCCTCCCCCTGTGAGCGCTTTGGCGCGGGTGAGGTGCCCACGGCAGCACCGCTGCTTGTTGAGAGTAAGAGCGATACGCGCTTTTATGTCATAAAGTCGTCATAAATAAGTCTCCAGATTTGTCCCTTTTTAGAAAATAAAGTCGCTAAGGGGTCTGAAAAGTCACTAAATATAGGGACAAAGTCGCTAAGTTGGCAACACTGGTTTCCTGCTGAGAGGAGAAGGCCACTGAGGTCAAAGGTCTCCTGCAGATCAGCCACACTCTTCTGCAGGTGATCCTCCAGCTCGTGAAGGTTTCCAAACTTTAACTTTCCCACAAAAACGTTTTTAGAGTTCATTTTGACACCAATGATCAGAACTCGCTCCAGACGAGTAGGAGAGGGTTTAGTGTGTGTGTGTGTGTGTGTGTGTGTTCCTGCAGTCAGGATGTCGACCACGTCTCAGAAGCACCGGGACTTTGTTGGAGAGCCGATGGCGGACAAACCTGTGACGGCTCTGTCAGGCATCGGAGAGACTCTGGGGAAGAAGCTGGAGGAGAATGGCTTTGACAAGGTGCGCACACACACACACACACACACACACACACGACAGACACACACACACACACACGACAGACCCATCACAGAAACTAGTCGAATTGTTCTGGAGTCTGGGCTTTAAAGAAATTGGAAGGTCTGCATGTAGTATGATAACACATGCATTCTCATGCTGACGTTTATCAAACGTGTGCTGTGTAGTCAGATTGTAGTTCTGTTGGAAACATGCTTTTTGTAACGACACTCAACATTTGGACAGATTAATATGGCGCGTGGTAGTAACTAAACGATGGATTGCCAAGTACACATGATGGACAGCTAGGCGTCCAAGAAGGCGGAGCTCCAGGTTTGGTACACGGTGAAATTCAAGGATTTTGATTGGATGTTACTGAGCACTGATCAGCAGGTATCAGAGTCTGTGTGATGCTCCTGTGGGTTCTAGCATTAGCTGCTAACTGAGAGCACAAACACAGTCCACAGGTTCAGTTCAGGTGAAGCTAGCAGGCAGCTAGCAGCTACAACTGCCTGTGTCACCCTCCACCTTTTAGGCAGACAGGCCACGCCCCTGATGGTGCAAACTGAAAGCCTGAATAGAATCCAAATAGCTGACTTATAAAGACCCTCTGTGCAGTTATCACGGAGGAAATTATCCACAGAGACTGTAACTGGACTGACTCACGTGTGTGTGTGTGTGTGTGTGTGTGTGTGTGTTCGTGTTCAGGCATATGTGGTTCTCGGTCAGTTCCTGCTCTTGAGGAAAGACACAGAGATGTTCACCGATTGGCTCAAAGACTCCATCGGCGCCAACTCTCGCCAGGCCAGTTCCTGCGCTCAGTGCCTGAAGGAGTGGTGTGACGCCTTCCTCTGAGGTGCCGCCTCTTCACAAAAACTACACCTGCGTTTGCTCACTTCCTGTTTCGGAGGCTTCTGATGGCTCTGCTGCTGTTAGGTGTTTGAGGTGGACTTCCTGCAGGAGCGCTGTGATGTCACAGCGCTCTGCCAGGTGTCTGTTTACCTGTTTTATGAGTTTGTTTCACTGAAGAACGTTTACATGAATAAAAGCTTTGTCTCCACGGCTTGCTGTCTTCTTTCTGAGTCCACCATAAAAACATCGAAGCCTCCGTATGACAGGGTACAGCGCCACCTGCTGCTGGATTTGTAGATGTGTTTGTGTTCATGCACGAGTACATGTGTGACATCATCCTGTGACATCATCCTGTGACATCATCCTGTGACATCATCCTGTGACATCATGCACGTACAGTGACACAGATCAGCCTGAGAGACGCTCGAGGACGCTGACCTGCTGGTGCTTTCCCCGCCGCCTCCTTAACTCCACCCCTCTTAGAAATGGCTTCAGAAGAGGGCGGTTCCTTTTTAACACCGGACAGGTAAGTTTGAGGAGCGTTTTGCTCTTAGTCCATGAACTCATCATTTAAGAACTTTGTCTAATATTAAAAGTTGTTTGAGGATGTAAGAAAACGAGGAATCTGCACGGATGCTGTGAACTACAAAGTCCAGCGTTTGTGTGTCGGGCTGTGAACATGCTGTGAGGCTTGAACACTGAGGACTCAGCTTCATCATCATTACTGTTCTCAGAGCTCTGACGCGATGAGCCGCACACAGCCTCTTTAAACTCCTCCCACAGAGGTGAGGCTGCTGTTCAGGACCAAGTTCTTAAATTCATCCTCGTGTTCTTGTCGCTTCCTATCTTTGGGTGAGAGCGCGGATATCTGACAGCAGGTGCGCGTCAGGTTTGTTTGTTTTTGTTTTTTTTCTGTAAATCTGGCAGTGAGGCCAAAGACGAGGTTCAAAATCCATTTTTGGATACTGGATCCAAGCATAAACGTCCAGGTTCCCGTTCTCAGACCTGGGCCCTGTTTCAGGAAGCCGGTTTAGAAAACTCAGAGTGAAAAACGATACTCAGGGTTGAGTAACCCCGAACTGTCCAACTCGGAATATTCGGTTTCAGAAAGGCTGATAACAAGTAGTTCAATCAACGCGGAGTTGCTTTAACCCCAAGTTAAGCACGCGCACGAGGATACATAAAGCCCTGATAAGCGGAGCACAGATTAAGCGAGTCACCATGGAGACGGAGGGAAAGAAGGCGCGGTCAATGTATTTTACAGCGCTTGACGGCCGAAATTCTGATGGCAGCATATGCCGATAACATGCAAATTCCGCGGAAAAAAAGTTAGCCAAGCTGCAAAAGAAGGAGCATGCATGGCAAAACATAGCCGACAGAGTCAATGCGTGAGTGTTAATTTAAACATTGATCTAGGGATTTCCACCCATTTAACACGTTATTTTATCATATGTTATTTTATTTTATTTCATACATTTTGATTTTGTGATGTGATGTGAGCGCAGGTGCAACCCAACAGGCCCCAAACGTTCCTGGCAGCAAGTAAAAATGAAATATAAAAATATAGTCCAAACAGGTGAGGTGTAATTGTATTATGAGCCATAGTGCTTGGTCTGTTTGTAAATCAATTGCAGTTAGAGGCTACATTAATTTTCTTTCTGTAAGCACTTATTGAAATTATCTGAGCACATTACAAGTACATATTTGCTTACTCTGTATGCTCAAATGTGGACCCGTTATAGCCAACAGAAAAAAAGCGGAGGCCCGAAAAACAGGTGGGGGTCCTCCACCACCACCACTCACAGAGGCTGAGCAGTTGGCCCTCAGCCAAAACAGTGGGCGCCCTGTGGCCGAAGGCATCTCTGCGGGGACATCCTCTGAGTCAATAACCCCGCAAGACACAAGTGCCTACATAGGGGGTAAATTCAAAATAATACATGATGTGCATACATCCTTTCTTCACAGTCACCTTTGCAGTGCTAGCTCATTCATTTGATAAACTCTTTACCATAATGGATTATTTTGTAGTGAAGTTATTTTCCTACTGATTTTGCCTTCCCTCAGTCTTGGTTGTCTTTGAGAGCATAATGACAATGAAGTGTAAGGTGATTGGTATGTTTGTTAATTGCCATTTGGTCCCTTGTAAGTTATAAGTGACCTGTATAAACCTCATATTCTATCAGTTGATGGTGGTGGTGTACTGCATCTGGTGCAGCCTCCTGTTGAGCCAGACCAACATGCAGTTGTGAGTAATACTCCACAGATTATATGAGTTTACAGTAGAACAGCAATGTTGTTTATTTCTTTACTACAGGAAAATAATGAAGAAACATTGACAGCTGTTACAGAGGAGGAAGCAACAGAGACACTTTATGAGGTTTACATCTTTTAATACTTTGTGTACAGGAAACACAGGTGACCAATAAAGCCAGTTGAACAAAAAATCTGTTTATTCTTCTTTCAACATGTTGAGGTGATGGGTCAAAAGAAATGATTGTGACATATGGTGTCTCTGACTGCGCTTCCATCTTGTATGTCCGTGGGAGGGTCAGGATGTTCATGGTTTGGATCACTGCTGATGTTTGGTTCAGAAGGACAGTGTTCTCCTCTAATTGTGGCAATGTTGTGAAGAATCACACATGCCACAATAATGTCACATGCCCTTTCTGGGGTGACCCTGAGTCCTTGCAGGCACTGGAACCGGGCCTTAAGCATTCCGATAGTCATTTCAATTCTGGCTCTTGTCCTGCAATTAGCCAGATTATATCGCTGCTGTGGGCCCGGTTCAGGGTCAGGGTAAGGGGTAAGCAAATAGGGTAAACATGGATACCCCCTATCACCAAGCAAGTAGCCAGTGAACTCTCCTAAGACAGAAGGATACACTTCAGTTCAAATGTCCCTGAAGCAATTGGTCTTTATATATTTTAAAGTATTCTCAACTCACCATGTCCAAATTTTGTGCTCAGTGTACATTCACGGAATATTTGTGAGTCATGACAGAGCCTGGCCACTTGGCTTCCACATTTGTGATAATGTTGGCAGCATCATCATATGATCTTCACAGTGCAGAGAACACAAATTAGCATCCATTACTATAATGAAATAATCTGTTAGTTTGAAATGCTACAGGGAACTATGTACCTGTACATTAATGCTGTGGAAAGACTTCCTGTTCACATAGTCTCCTTCATTTACTGAAGGAGCAATGATTGGAATGTGAGTGCCATCTGTACAGCCAATCACGCCTGGGAACCCTGAAAATAAATGTAAAATTTAAGTAGTAGTTCAAGTATCACCACATCTCTCCCTCCCTCCCTACAATGAAAACAATATTGGCCCAAGAATAGATCCCTGCGGTACCCCCCATGGCAGAGGGACCAGAGAGGATGAGGCCAAACCCAACTTAACACAAAAGCTCCTGAGAGATATGATTTTATCCACGAAAGTGCCCGGCAGGATATTCCTACACAATGCTGTAATCGAGAGATCAGCAGGTCGTGATCCACCGTGTCGAATGCAGCAGTCATATCCAATAGAACAAGCACTGCATGTTTACCACAGTCCGTTGTCACGACCTTTATGAGAGCCGTCTCTGTGCTGTGAAACGGCTTAAAGCTCAGAGGTGGGTCTGAAGTCATAATGGAAGTGTCTGAGCCTGGTTTCTTAAGTTGGGGATGGATAACTGCATGTTTAAACTCACTCAGTACTTGACCTGACAAGAGGATGGTAGTGATTATGTTCAGAACATGTGGTCCAACAGTAGGAAACACTTTGGTTCCTAGTTTGTGAGCAGAGTGAAAATTGAAGTGTGTTCCTCACCAACAGGGGGCAGTGTTTACCACACAGTGCTGCCTGGTTTCCTTGTAAAGCAGCCGGGTGTCCATCAGAGAGCTGCTTATCCCTGCACGGCTCTCTAAAGAGGGGTTTCCCTCGATTGGAGCCTCAGCTATTAGGCAGCAGTATTCCTCCCAGCAGGAAGGACCTGTTTGAGCTTCCATGAAAGCAAAACAGAGGTAATATATCAGGCCTAATAATACCTCACGCAGCCCGCTTATTAATTATGGTTGGCTTGGGTCACTCATCAAACAGCGCGTCCCAAATCTGGGACACATCACTTGGAGCTTAAATTTAACAAACAGATCACTTCTGTGTTGCCAAAAAGCGTTTTGCAGTTAAGGCAGTTTTGTCGGGGCGCAGCTTGGAGAAACTCCGCTTGACTATTGTAACGCACTTTACAGCCAAGCGCCCGTCTCTTAACTGGTGCACAGGCTTGAACATGTCTCACCTATCCTGTCCTCCTTCATCAACTTCCTGTTTATCACAGAATTAATTTCAAAGGCCTAATATTGGCTTATAAATGCCTCCATCCCTTTCTGATGTACTCCAGCCCGTGTTCCCTCGCAGGCCGACCAGCTGCTTTTGGTTGTTCCAAAATCCAGGTTGGACTTTATGGGGAAAAAAGCTTTTTCAGTTGCGGCGCCCAAACTTTAAATATATGACACACTTCCTGCTTTTAAGTCTCTTTTGAAAACATCTTTTCCCCACCGCGTTTGGAGCGCTGTGAGTAGATGTGCTCTTTTTATTTTATGTGAGCGGTTTTACCATTTATCTGTTTTTTGTTCAGTACTTTAGGAAAACGTATGAATGAATTGGATCTAAATTTGATGACTCGTACGCTGCAGCCGAGGATTCGCTCGTGCGCAGAGATCCCATCAGACCTGATGGCGTTGGACTGAGACGCCGCTCCTGCTGCGGCGATGCTGACGTCTCAGGAAACGACTGAAGAACACTTTCACGCAGCTCTTCGTACAAATGACGCCGAGATGAGATGAAATCATCTTTGAGGTTTCTCATTAAGTGATTTAGTGTTCGAGCTCCTCTGTGGGAACTTTTGGGACCAAAACATATTTTCCTGTGAATCAAATCTCAGAAATCAGCTGATTTTCAGCACAGAGCGGGTCAAAGGTCGTCCAGGTGAGAACATGATGTACAAACGTAAAAAGCGCGTCTTTATTCGTTTTCATCAGTACAATAAATAAATGTTTTAGTCAAGAAAAAAAATAGAAAATAACAAAGAACAGAATTCTATAAGAAGCCGTACAGCGACTGCAGACACAGGAAGACGTCTCTGTAAACCGTCATCAACGTTCATCCCGACACTCAAACAGGTAAACGTCACAGGAAGTGTCAGACGTCTCCAGCAGCCAATCAGGTGCCTTCATAGGTCAGGTAAACAATATGATCAATAAATAGATTTTAAAAATGGAGGGGTTCTTCTGTTTGTCAGCGGACGAAGGAAAAGTGAAATGAGAAAGGATGGAAAAACCTCCTGATCACGTGTGTAAACGCCACAGGAAGTGAGGTCAGAGCTGAGGTTAAAGGGAGCCGAGGTTAAGGACCTCCTGCAGTTTCCCTCCGTTACAGAGAGCCCAGCGCTGCCCAGCGTCACCGAGATGGACCAATCAGAGCAAATTACTGCTCTTACATCAGCAAACAGAGGAAGACACCAGGACATCTTTAAACGCCGCGTGTGTCACGTGAAAGCAGGAAACCTGGTTTTCTGAATCTGCAGCTCGCCAGCTTGATGCTCCTCTTCATCTTCATCTGACCCTGAAAATCTCCCAGCATCCTCCTCTCCAAGCTCGTGTGTCACAAACCAGGGACTCTGTGAGGATTCATGAAGCTTCAAACATGCAGTGAGTGAAAGAAACTGTCTGTGCTCCACCCGGATGAGCGAGGGCAGGTGTGGTGAGCAGGTGGAACCAGTGGAACCAGTGCGAGGAGGAATGCTGGGAGAGGCTGGATCAGTGCTCGGGGGACATTCCAGCCTGATGACTGAAGAGGAGGCTGAAACCAGCCCTCATCATCACTGAAACATGGAAAGCATCAAAGGGCAGATAAACTATGAAGTTATGTGTAGCTGTGTGTTGGCCCCGCCCCCTCACAGTGTCATTCACAGGTTTTTCCATCCTGTCCAGTAAAAACTGGTAAAATAAAAAAAAAAAAAGTAAAGGTCATGTTCTAGCAGCTTCAGTTTTTAACCTCCTGGCTGGTTCTGCTGGTTTTACTGGGTTTTGGTGGTCTTGGCGTCGGGGCGCAGGTACGTCTGGTAGAAGAAGTTGGAGAAGAGCAGCAGGTAGCTGAAGTACATGAGGGCGGCCCAGACGATGTTGTCCAGGCTGGAGGGGCAGTCTCCCTGCTGCATCCAGCGGTACACCAACGCGCTCACCGCCACGCCCATCGCCATCTGAGCGATCTGAGCGCTGGTGATCAGCACGGCAAAGGGGCGGGGCACGCGCAGCCCGGCGGCACGGGCCGCGTAGTAGCTGTACATGAGCGCGTGCACGGTGTAGTTCATGGTCATGAACCAGCCGCCGCCGGCCACCATGTCTTTGTAGGAGTACCAGGAGTAGAGCAGCACGGTGATGTGGTGGTACCAGTGCAGGAAGAGCAGCTTCTGCTTCCTCAGCACGATGAACGCCGTGTCGCCTGCAAACAAAGCTCACGTTAGTCACATGTTTCATCTCGGCGCCGCTACAAGGCTATAAAAGCTAACGCACTGACCGAGCTCTGGAGCCTTGCTGAGGACGAAGGCGTACGCCCAGAACTTGCTGACCGGGCCGTTGTAGAAGCTCCGGTCACAGATGGACTGTCTGAAGCCGCTGGAGCTCAGGATGTGGAACATGTAGGGACCGGTCCGGATCGCCCCGATGATGCTGCAGAGAACCGGAAACAAATCCATCAGAGCACAGAAACAAGGACACGAGCAGAAACACGGCGTGGCCACTCAGAGCAGCACTACCCTGAAGACGCCCTCAGCGTGTGTGCGTTTGTGTGTCTGTGTGCGTTTTGGTTCTTACTATCCTGGTAGGGACCAGAATCATTTTTCACAAACTGTGGTTTTAGGGTCATAATTGGCTCATGGTCATGGTTATGTAAGCTTATAGCTAAAGCAGTAGGTCAACCCTAACCCAGGATAGCAAACTGTTGTGTGTCTGTGAGGAAGTGAGGCTCCTTTTAAAGGTTCATTCTGCTGATTTTAATCTTTGTGTTTACAGCAGCTTCATGTTTCCTGACAGCGGCCATGACTCCGCCCACATCTCTATTGTTCTCACACAGGTGAAAAAACAAACACACCTGAGCCGCAGGTACCTCTGGAGCAGGTTACCACGGGGACAGCATGCTGGCTGTGCGCAAGTGTTGATTCAGCAAGAATGCAATGCAAAGCATGCCTGTGGTTACCATGGAGACTGTCAGTGTTTCACTCTGCAGCGTCTCTACGAGACTGAAGGAATTTTCTCCTTTGTTGAAAACACCGTACAAGCGCGTGCATGCCCCGCCCACCCGGGATTCACTGCTTTGAGAGTTTCGTTCATTTGTAGCCTGACGGTGTGATCAGTGACATCACTGAGAGGACTGCGTCCCGCCACGATCAACACTGACAGCTCTTTTATGGTGATGTAGTGGGAGGAGCTTCAGACCATCACAGCGTGGCTGAACGTCTCATTTTAGGTGTCACTTATGCGTGGTTTACTCTGTGAAGGTGACCAATCACAGAGCAAGGAACGAGTCCCGCTGTCCGTGGAGTGCGTGTGAGTGTGTGCACGTGTGAGGAGTGTTACCTGAAGATGGCGAGGCTCAGTGACCAGAGGATGAGCGGCCGGCGCAGGTTGAGCTTGGGGCGTGGCTTCATGTAGTGCTGCCCTCCAAAGACCAGGGCGACGTACAGCGCGCAGAACACGAACGAGCTCTTCCTGCAGGAGCAAACACTCGTTTAGTCCGGAGCTTTTTTGGATTCAGGGGAAAACATCATTTGTTTTGGTGGCAGCAGAGTTTCCTCACGAGCCTGAAGGTTACATCATTTTTAAATACAGCAGCTGGCGCATGCGCACATCACCGAGTGTGTTCCTATCACAGTTATGAGCAAATCAAATATTTCACGTCGCATCATGCGCGTCGCTCGCGGAGGGCTCGGCAGGGCGGGACGAAAGCAAATACAAC